TATAATATATATTTATTAATTAGATTGAACTGAATTAAAAAAATACCCCGGCATATATACGCACGTGTTTTATATCCATTGGTCCGCCATTTTAAATAAGTCTCTGCTGCTAAAAGGATTGAACGGCGCGTTTCCTGCTGCTTCTAGCCCACCGCCGGCCATGGCATATCCCTCCCCGTTCAGACTGCCATGGAAAGCGACACCCACGAACTCCACATTGAAGCTCTCCAATTCCTCTCCAAAATCCTCGAATTACTCTTCCTTACACACTAGACGTCGCCGCTTCATCACTTTCTCTCTCGAAAACGCCTCGTCTTCTTCCTCAGCTGATTCGAACAAGTCCGTGAAAATCGAAATTTCCAGTCAAAAACCGGCTGTTGTTCCTAAGAAAGTGGAAAATGATGTTCCTTTGCCTTCTTCTCGGAATCCGACGGAACAAACCCTAAGTTTCAGGTCTCTGTTCGGGAAGAGAATCCTGTGGAGAAGGATTCTCTTCGTGTCCAAGAAAGTTAGGAGCATTATTCTGCTCAATGCGATTACTGTTGTTTATGGTCTGCTCTGATTTCCTTTAAATATCTTTTATTGTTGTTCATTTTAATTTTGCAAAAACATTGAACTGTCAAGGCAAATTTTTGTTCTTATGATTAATTAAGGCGTTATTTAGTGATTTAAATTCTTCCTTGTTAATTTGCTAGTTCAAGGTAGTCTGGTAGTGAGTTGGGGATGGAACCTAAGCCTGGGATGGGTTGAATTGCATGAAATTTTTATAGAATTGTTGAAGATCAGTAATTTAAAAGTTTGTGGAATGTTTGGAAATCTTTTATGTATTGAACTTTATCTTCTAATGTTATATATTGGAGTAACTTTTATTAGGTCATTTTAGTACTGATGTTAAATTCATGGATTTCTTTTTAGAAAATGGTAAAGACAGAAATGCTATATATCGTTTTTGCTTTTACAATATAGCAAAGTCTCAGAAAGGGAAAAAAGGGTAAGAAGTATTTTAACAAAAAGGTAAAAGAAGCATATAGGTGGAAGTCACTATGACTTACTACCTTATATTAACAGAATGCCTTAAAATTGAGTTACGCTTGTGTAGATTGCATTCAAAATCCATGGTATTAAGGAATTGCTATCTTTAAATCCCATTGCTAGAGAAATGGTAGGCTGCAATTTTCATAGATATTTATTTTACATGGTTTTTCTTTTAATGCATGAAATAGGATGCTACCCTGTGTTTGCTTTTTAAAATCTATTTCAAGTTCGTTGATATGGATGATATCTTAGCAGTATGATATTTGTTCCCGATTGGTTGCTTGTCCATAAACTTTTTTCTAAATTTGTTGTAAAATTTGCTATTGTAGCTAGTACCATTCCTGTTGTGAAGGAGGTTGAAGCAATTATGGACCCAGCAGCCTTCACAGTTGTGCGATTTATGGTGTCCGCCATTCCATTTGTCCCATTTGTATTGCGAGCTCAAGCGGATGTTCACACCCGCAATGCAGGACTTGAATTGGGTGTCTGGGTCAGTTTGGGGTACCTCATGCAGGCACTTGGACTCCTAACATCCGATGCTGGGCGTGCATCATTCCTATCTATGTTTACCGTATGTTTCTTTGTTACACTGTAGATGTTAAAGAAATTTTCTTGTTTGTTGGGGGTACTTGAAATTACAACTTTAGCAAAATTCTGGGTGAATTTATCAGGTAATAGTGGTTCCCTTGCTTGATGGTATCTTAGGAGCAGTAGTTCCTGCCTGCACATGGTTTGGTGCAGTTATGTCCATCATAGGGGTTGGACTGCTAGAATCCAGTGGGTCTCCTCCTTGTGTAAGTGTTACCCACTTTCATATGGTCTTGTGTAAGTGTTACTTAAATAGTGCATGTCAAGCTGTTTTGTTTCTTAAGAAAACTGCTTCACCTTGTTAACTTCTTTTTCCAAACTATGACAGGTTGGAGATCTCTTGAACTTCTTAAGTGCGGTATTTTTTGGAATTCATACACTGAGAACTGAACAAATCTCTAGAAGGACAAAAAAGGAGAATTTCTTAGCGCTTCTTGGTTATGAGGTCAGAATATTTACTACACACACACACACACACAATGCAGCCTGTTTACCATTGTGTGGTGTTGAATGATTTGAGGTTCATTCAGGTTTGTATTATTGCTCTTTTCTCAATGCTGTGGTTCTTTCTTCGAAGCTGGTGTGGGGGCACTTGGAAGTTGAATCCATCATTTTGGACCTGGAAAGTGTTCTTGGATTCGATCATCAGGTTTCCATGGATTCCTGCACTTTACACAGGCATATTCTCAACTGGCCTATGCTTGTGGGTGGAGGTAACTAAGTCCCCTAGAGCACATAAATATAATCAAGGAGCATTTATCAAACCTTCTGTAAATTCTTGTTAGGTTTTGAGTATAACTGGCTTGTTGCAGATGGCTGCTATGTGTGATGTATCAGCCACAGAAACTGCAATAATTTATGGATTGGAGCCTGTTTGGGGTGCTGGTTTCGCATGGTTTTTCCTTGGTGAAAGGTGGGGTACCGCTGGTTGGATAGGAGCTGCACTTGTGCTAGGTAATGCAACTTCTACTCTGGTTATTGATTCTTCATTATTTTCTATTTGGGGGTCTGAGGCTTAATTGGTAGTTAGTGTAATTTTTAATCTTCTCGGTAAGTGGTATAATGTCAGTCAGATTCTACTTTCAGATTTTAGATCATGCTCTTGGTAGTTGTATGATTGGTATTAATTTTTTTTTTCAGTCTTTTTTGCCCCTGTTATTTAATGTCAAACTTATATGCTACTGCTTAGATGGTTTTTACATGGATTCCATGTGTGAAATTATTGCCTTTACTATGAAGTACAAGAAATGGTGAAATTACGATCTGCCTGCTGTTTGGATGTTGATTGCAAATATCTGCATTGATTTTTATATCTGGTTTCTAAATCTCCTCATCTTTTTGCTGTTCCCTTGCCCTTAGAGATTCTAAATTATAAGGTGCCAAAACGAGGAATAATGGATATGAACTGGGAAAGCATATATGGAAAATTAACATGGTTTTCCTGTTTACGAGAAGTTAAGGCAAGTTAAGAAGCTATTAACACTATATATGAATCAATTCCAACAAGCTGCTGCAAATATAGAAATTCTCAATATGGTAGGCAAATTTTTTATTGAGGAACAAGGACTAAAGTTCAATCTTCTTATTGCTGATTTGAATGGATCATTGTTATTCTCTCACTGAACTAGTGGGTTCACTCCCTATTATTGCAAGCTCTTATTTAAAATTTAACATTTGGCCGTCTCCCTGAAGCATCCTAGACATATAAACCTATGATGTAGTATCTACATATGAAGTATCTTTCTCCATGGTGTAAGTTCCCTCTCATTTTAATTGTGTGGATTTTGAGTTACCCTACTCAAAACAATATCCTCATCTACTTCCTAACTGCAGTATTATTATGGATTCTTTTTGGTATTTTAACCCAGGTTGATGATGCAGTCTTTTAGTCAACCTGATACCATGATCAGATCTTGACCTAGGAATAATATGAAGTTTTTTTTTCCTGGAATGCCTGACCAATGCTCAGTAATTTATTCTTTCAGTTATGACAATTTTAAAGTTATAATTTTTTGGTAGGTGGAAGCTTAACAGTGCAGATATTTGGATCATTATCCTCTGTGAAATCTGGTGAGGATGAAGAGTCGAGCAAAATAGTTGATTGTCTTATAGTTTCAGAAAAGCAAGACGGTTTATCTGCCTCTCCAGTAATAGTTAGCTCCAGAAAGGATACTCCTAGGCTTTAAAAGAAGTAAGCAACATATTCTTTCATTTCTATTTCTTTTTGGCAAAGATATG